AGCCCCCCCCCCCCCCCCTCAAAACAAATTCTAAGAAACCCTAAGGGAGACGCACCAGTACCGGCACCGCAAACCGGGACGAGTACCAAGGCAAACGAAACCGCCCCGCAGAAAACAACGCTCAAACAGACATGGGCCACCATTAGGTCCTCCGGAATTGATGTGGACGGCTTCCGGCTTGTACCAACAAAGAAAAAAAGACCAGAGCCAGCCCCAGGCATCCGAGAGACAGCACCCTCGGCACCCTCAACCCCGCATGCCAGGCAAAGGAGGCTACTTATCCGATCGGTGGAAAGAGGTCGCAGGATAGGAGCAGCAGGGCTGTCACCAGCAAGAATCAGAGACGCGGTCAACTCGGCATCCAGGGTCAAGTTCGCATACGCAGAATTTAACCGAAATGACGACCTGGTACTCACCACCATGGGAGACCTACCGGCCGAACCAGCCCTCAATGACGTGCCAACAATCACCAAGGCCCTAAACGGGATCGACGTTTTCGGCTTCAATGTCACCACAGACACACCGTCCATCAACATCGTCATCAATAGCATACCACTAGGGGACGAAGACTGGATACCCGAAGAATGGGACACGGACTCGGACAGATGGGAGGACCTAGCAAAGGAAATCTCTGAATACAACCCACAGGTCCGGCTGCTAGACAGGCCTAAGTGGCTCAGGTCCCCGACAGCGCTCAAAGCTGAAGGAAAAGTCAAGTCCTCAGCAATAGTGGCGGTACAGGCAAACGACTGGATCATGGCCAAAACCAAAAAACCCCTCCCGAGCATGGCCATCTTTGGCATGAGGTGTACCTTCCGGAAATATGTAAAGAAAGACTCATCAACCTGTTGCGCGAGATGCCTACAATTCGGACACCATGCCGTCCATTGCAGGATGGAAGCAATATGCAAATACTGTGGAGGAAGACACCACACCAAAGACCACCTCTGCGCACAGACGTACTGCACGGCGGGAAAAGGGAAGATGTGTTCCCATACCCTAAGAAGATGTGTTAACTGCGAAGAAACCTCTCATTTCGCCGGAGATAACCATTGCCCAACTAGGACTAGGGCAAAGTCCCCAGTACAACCCCCCACGGCCGCGGATAAAGGAAAAGCACCAGCAGTGCTGGCCCCTCCCCCG